TAATTGTACAATTTTAGTTAAAATTATAATTTGGCTGTAAAATTACTTATGAACATTCTGCCAATTTCTGTATCTAAAAAAAAATGTGCTGAGTGGGGAGGAGAACTGCCCTGGTCTTCAATTTTGCCCTGTTGTCTGTTATCACAGGCCACGATGGTAAAAGTGCCATTGCAATGCGTAGCATTGGTGATCTTGTTTCTGGGGAAATCGAGCGCACATTGGAGATTTCCAATCAGACAATAATTGATGCTGCTGTGGACATGAGTGCATTCCCAAGTGCCTCTCAAGCTCCTCGTCCTAATACAACCTCTGCACCCACATCCACCCCACACTCTGTTGTCAACGCCAACATCCCGCCACGTCCAGAAAGGGTCAGCATTCGCCCTGATTCACATGGTTAGTATTTCTCGGAATTTTGACAGATTGTACTCTTAAGTTGTGTTTTCAAGGCTATCCCAAATCATATATACCTAAAAACACTCATTTCAATTCGGAATTGTCCTTTTTTACAATGCAATAAAATTACACTACTTAGGCTGAATAAAGGTTTCTTTGTCGAAAGGAGTAAGTGGTCTGTTAATGGGAGCATGCTGTCAATAAGGAATTTAGTTATGGGCATGAATTTTATCACAAGTGACGCATGGGGGTTGTGATTGGAAAGTGCTTTGCTGTTTGTGCATTTCTAATGTGATGTTCTAGTTTTTTCTTGTGTTCACCATCCTCTTGGTTGTCTTTGGTTTCATTGAGAGTTTATTCTTTCAGAGACAATGTTGTGTCTTCTGGCATTAATCCCATCTTTAATTATTTTTACCTCCATCTTATCAGTGAATGGAATTTTAAACATCTTTTACACCCTATTTTCGTTGTGCAGGAATGAGGATGGTCCGAATGGTTGAGGATACGAGTAACGTGGGTGGAAGTGAAAGCCCCTACCCTCCCAGACTCGAAGGACCAGGCCAAAGTTCGGATGCTGGGACTGGGCCGCCCCTGGAAGGCTTGGCCTACCCTCAGCACCGGCCCAAGTCCCCGCCACACGCCAATATGCACCATGGACTGGCCACGCTGGCGCACGTGGCATTCAACCGCAACCCCATCCACTACCCCAGCCAGCAGGCGGCGTCCTCCGCTCAGTCGCAGTCCCAGTCGCAGAGCCAAGCTCAGGCTCGTCACCGTCCTCCAAGCGCGCCCTACACCCCGGTGCAGCTTCCGCGTGCAGATATCAAGCCGTATCACGAGTCGTACTTTACTGACTCGAAGCCCCCGCTGTCAAGTGCCAAGGTACAACTTCGACGGAAATCAGTCACACCATGATACGAGCGGTACAACGCCGAAGCTTCTGAATTTAATGTCTATGCTTTTCTTATTTCCCAGGCTCCCTCGCGCAGTGAGTCTACACCAAGTGCGGACTTTGCTCCAGTTGAAGGCTTGGCCGCCACCCTGCATGCGCGTATCCTCAATGGGCAAGAGCTAGGCAGTTCTGCTACATCTGGCCCATCAACATCAACTATCAAGGAAGAGGCTGATGAAAGCTCCCATACATTAATGGCTGCTGACAGTTCAAGACTCCCTCATGAGCCATCACCTGATCTAGGTACTTAAACATCTTACTCATTTTTTTTTTCATCTAAAAAAAGATGTGACAAAATATTGAGTTTTACTGTTATTTGACTTACCTAGCATGTTATTTCAATGCCTATTTTTTACTCATTACATTCTGTTCTCAATTTAGATCCTGAAAGAACACGGTCTGCAGATGGGCATCTAGAAGATAAGCCTCAATCATGTAGTGCTGATTCAAGTATAAAAATGGAAGGCACATTGAATGGTCCAACAAGTGATCGGACATCTAATCGCCCTGATAGACCTCCAAGTAAAAGATCATCTCCTCTCATACATGGACCTTCAAGACCATTTAAAAAGCAATGCCTTGATGCTGCAGAACATGTAAGTCTATATTGATAAATAAAT